GGGCGGAGGGCATCCATTCATGGCAGCAGCAGAGCGTGCAGAAGAGAGGAGCGGAGGCAGCAGCGAGGCTTTCCCTCCTTACCTGCCCCAGGCTGGGGGTAGCACTCACAGCCGTAATTCCAGGAGGACTCAGACCCGCAATACCAGCCCTGGGTCATGAATTAATCACAAACTCGAGAAGTCAGCCCCACGACTGCATGAGGCGTTGGGGTGGGGGACAGCTAGACCCAAACCATAACAATATGAAAGGAAACAAACAATATTCTAGAACCGAGAAGCTCAGAAGTGACTTGGAGGAAACTCAAGGGAGCATATACCGCCTCAGCTTGGGGTGCGGGTGCACAAGAGACGCAGCAGAGCATGCGCCAGCAGGTCCGCGTGTGGCTGGAGTCCCAAAAAAGGGAGGGGGTCACACAAACGCAAAGGTCAAAGAAATAACGGCAAGGCTCCTCCAAAATTGTTGAGCAGTCCACCCACAGCTTCACACTGCTCAAGAAAACTACAACCAAGGCAAACAGAGTCAGACCTTGCTCTGCCATAGGAAGATTGTCTTCGTTTTCTTCTTTTTCTTGGTAACAGGAATCGGGCTCACAACCTCACACTTGCCAGGCAGGCGCTGCGCTACTGAGCCATATACCTGGCAAGATTGTCAAAGACAAAACATGTTAGAAGCAGCAAGGGAAAAAGGGACATATTACTTGGAGAGGGACACACGGTAGATAACTATTGTCTCAAATGAAAATCAGAATGGTGGATGCCACCGTGCCTTCAGATTCTATGTACGGTGTACTCAGAGCACTCGAGGAGAATGCGTGCTGACTTGAGTTTTATAAGAAGCAAAAATAGCCTTCAGAAATGAAGATGAGGGCTGGCAAGATAGTCAGCGGACTAAGTGCCTGTTTAGCTAAGCATAGGGACCAGGGTTTGATCCCCAACAGCACACGCTGTGCTGGCCGTGCTCCTGGGTGTGCTGAGCCAGCCACAGTGTCCTGGCCTGGTGGCACAAGCCTGTAATCCCAGCACTGGGGAGGCTGAAAACAGGAGGATACTATGAGTCCAAGCTGCAATACACTAAAAAAAAAAAAAAATGAAGATGAAGTAATGAATTATTGGGCTGGCCAAATAGCTCAGTGATTAAAGTGCCTGCAAGCAGGTGCAGGGGCCAGGGGGAGGGGGACAGGTGGTTCAATCCCCGGGCCTGCGGTGCCGGCGCCACCCCCGGGGTGCGCTGAGAGACGGCGATTGAGACTAGGCCTGGTGGCATGTGCCTGTAATCCCAGCACTTGGGAGGCTGGGAACAGGAGAATCACCATGAGCCCAATCTAGTAGTGAGAGCCTAAACACCCTGTAAACCCTTCCCTAAAATACAGAAAAAGAAAAAAGAAAGAACAAATTACAAACCACAAAGCTGAACAACTTTGTTATCAGCAGGCTGGACTTAAAAAGAAAAAAACCTAACTGGAGTTCTTCAGGAAAGAAGAGAAGTACCATAGAAAAGTGGCGCATGCTGCAGGAGGCCAATGTTGTAATAAGATTATTATGAATGAATATAGACAGCATTAAATGCTATAAATTAGAAAAGAACTTTAAAAGTTTAATGCTATAAATTGAAACAGAAGAAATGGTGAAAATAATTTATTTAAATTTCACCTGATAAAAGAAAATATTAAAGTTTGTCATACCCCAAGAAAGCAACAGAAAAGGAATGTAAATAAGAACAGATACCAATGAATTAGCAAAGGGACAGTGCAGAAAAATGAACAAAGCCAATAGCTAGTCTTTGAAAAGATGAATACAAATGAAATCCATTGATAAAACTGGACGGAGACATCACTACAGAGCTTATAGATGTGGATGTGACAGAAGGAGGACACTGGGAACAAATGAAATCCCACAGCAAGACTGGGAATAAATCTATCCATAAATTCAGCAGAACAAATTCCTTAAGAATGTAATCAAAGCTGACAGAAGAATTAGACCATCTCTACAGTCCAATGTGTATTAAGCACGTCAAATCTATTATTTAAAAGCCTTCCTACAAATAAAATATCAACAGAATAGAAACTTTAGAAGCAAGGCTGAGGCAGAAGGATCATTGTGAGTTCAAGGCCAGCCTGAACAGCATAGCAAGATCCTGCCTCAAACACACACACACACACACACACACACACACACGCACACACACACACACACACACACAGAGTCTAGGCCAGTGACATCCAGTTTCCTGGTCTGTGACAGTATGGCGTTGCAGAGCTACAGGGGAATGGTTACTCTTTCCTTATAAACGGGCTGAGCTGGTAGGTCTCCACCTGAGAAGACAGTGTCACTTACAGATTTCTCTTGGTGTCACAGACAAAGTCAATTCCAGAGAGACTGCAGAAGTCAAAATGGAAAATAAAACAATAGCACTTTTGGAGAAGACAGTCAGGGAGAGTATCTTTGTGACCTGGACTAGGCACATATTTCCCAGGCATGAAAGTGGTAACATAAGGGAAAATCGGATATATTAGACTTCACTAACATTGAAAACTTCAGCTTATGCAAAGATACCATGAAGAGCACAAAAAGGCCAGCTGCAAGATGGGAGAGTAGCAGGGAGAACTCAAACCCAAGCTGTGCAGGGCACGGCCCTGCGTCGAGAAGAGAAGGATGAGCCAGGGAGGGAGGCAGAGCCTGTGGCGGCACCACACGTGGCCGCAGCCAGGTGCTGGACAGCGCTGGTCCACCCCTGGTCGCCAGGCCACAGCAGTGAGAGCCACGAGCAGACCACTGTGTGCCCACTGGAGGGGGTGGTGTGATGGAAAGCAGGATGGGAGGGGAGGGCCAGAGGAAGGCGGAAGGACAAGATGCAGTATGTGCGTGTACTAGTGTCCTGGGATGGATGCATTCACGGTGCATCACAAACGTGTGATATTAGGTGTTAAAAAGTTAAGTGCACATTGACGCGGGGCCCAAGTGGACAGAGCGAGGCCACATTGCCACCAGCACCCTGTGGGGCAGCAGTGCCCCTTTGTGGTCTCCTGAGGGAACGCGCCTGTGTTCTGGAGACGCTGGTGATAGGAGGCCAGGGGAGGGGAGGCAAGGACACAGGAGTGTGGGGTGTGACAGCAGCCAGTAGCCCTGAGAACGAGCAGCCTGTGGCCTCGTGCCTCGCCCTGCCGAACCCTTCGCCATGGGCTACCAGGTCTGTGCAGCCACAGCAGGGTGCGTAGCAAGAGTCAGATTTCCTGTGACTGGTGAATATGTAGTTCTGTGAACACATCCCAGAGGGAGGGCGTCGGGGACCTACTCACACTTCACACCGGGACTTAGAAGTGTTTGTTGTTTATGGAAATTGAGAGCTCATTGGGTGTCCTGCATTTTATCCGGTGACCTATACTAACCTAAGATCAGCCAACAAAGCCTGCCCCACATGGTGGACCTGATTTCCCTGGCCCTAGGACACAGGGGCAGGTGAGATTGCCTCTGTTTGTGCCATCAAGGTGGCGTCAGCTCTGGGGATGGACTGGAAAGACACGCGCCGCGGCGGCGGCGCTTGATCGTACTGCCGGAGTCTGCAGTCTGCGCCGCGGTTGCGCAGGCTCAAGAGTAGCGCTGCGCTGTGAGGTGCACTTGCCTCTCCGCACTGCGGGCCGGCTGACCCTTTCTCAGAGAGCAGCACGCAGCCAGCCCATCAGCCCTGCTGTGGCGCATCCTCATCCCCAAATAAGGGCACGTTCAAGTGTCAGCTGCAGTGCTGTCCTCTTGGAAGCCTTCTCAGGCCAAGCCAGGTGCCCTGCCGCCCCCTTCCCAAGCCCTGCGTCTGTCTTTGCTGCTGTTGCCATCAAAGCGAAGGCCATTATGTGTACAGGTATTTGTCTTACCGTGGACCTTAGCGCCAGCACCTGGAGCAGAGAATAAACATCTATATGGAAGCCAACACATACTTTTATTTCACTCTTTAAAGTTCTTACTAATACAGTAGCACATTTCTGAGAATCAGGGCTTTCTTGTTTCCATTGAGAGGTTGCAGAATCTAATTTTTAAGAAAGGAACCATCCTTGAGTCACTAACAGCCCTGCTTCTGATGTGTGGCAGGGAGCAGGCGGGAGACTAGAACCTTGCTGTGTAGTGGAGGATGAGTCGTGGTGCTGTGTGAATCGAGTGCAGGCCTTGGCTGCTTGGTTGCTTCACTGGGATGCAGACTCTGGAGGCTGCACTGACTCCTGTCTGAAGAGGCTGAGGTGGGCTTTGGACCCTCACGCTTGTTTTGGTCTTGACCATAGGGATCTGCTGCAGGCACTGACCGAGGAGGAGCTGCACACACTGGAGCGGAGCCTCTGTGTCTCCCAGGAGCTGGAGCTGCCCATTCGCACGGATGCCCAGGTGCCCTCTGCCCTGGTGCCTGCCTTTCCCACGCCACTCCCCCCCAAGGAGCCGCTGTCCACCAAAGCCACAGACCCAGAGGCAGAGCTGGCCTGCTCCATGCAGTACGATGACCAGGAGCTAGAGGAGCTCAGCCGCATGGTGCACAGGGCTGGGGACGAGATGTCCTCTTTGCTCTCACCACCCAGTGCCTGCCAGTCCCCTGCACACAGGCCAGAGGCCGAGGGCAGCCCCCATGGGGAGCCTTCCCCAAGAAGAGCGCGGCTGAAGTCGGGTAGTGAAGAGGAGGAACGGGTGTTCTTCATGGAGGACGTGGAGGTGGTGGAGGCACCTGCTAAACCTGAGCCCACGGGTGGCCCGTTTGCATGGGCAGGCAGCTCCCAGGAGAGAGGGCAGGATGGGCAGCACGGCGAGGTGCAGGCTGAGGTGGCCACCAGGGTGAAGGAGGAGGACCGGAGCAACAACAACACGGAGGATGCCCAGGTGCTGGGGGCCGGAGCCCTGGGATCCACTTGTAGCTGCCTGGACTCGCAGCCGTACCTGGATGGCTGGGAGATGGGCACAGAGGGTGCGGAGACGGCTGAGTTGATCGCCCACCGGACAGGGGGCATGAAGCTTTCAGCCACCGTCATCTTCAACCCCAAGTCACCCACCTCCCCAGACTCTGCTGTGGCCTCCCAAGATGCTCCAGGCCTCAGTGCTTCCCCTCCAGCCCCTGGGGCTGAGGAGCCTGGCCAGGGCTCCCACAAACTCAGTGCCACAGCCACCAACTGCCTGCTGCACTCCTGCGTATGCTGCGGGAGCTGCGGGGATGGCAGGGAGGACACTGTGGAGCGCCTGCGGGAGAAGTGCAGTTCAGGAGGTCTTGTCAGTGCCTCCCACCCTGCCACGGGATTGGCCATGGCCGACGACAAGGCCAAGGCTACTCTGCCCACAGACGATGTCCCTTCGTCCAGCAAGTGCCTGCCATCCACCTCAGGACCCCCGCGGGACACTACAGATGGAACTCAGGGAGAGGATGAGGCCCCACACCAGCAGGAGGAGCCCGAGGCCCAGGAGCCAGACTTCAGAAGGCCTACTGCAGCCAGCGACAGTGACAGCTCACGAAGAGATGCCTTCCAGGAAGATCCACTACCACCATCAGGCTCAAGGTAAGGCCGGCTCTGGGACAGGGACCCGACTCCTCACTTTGTGCTCAGGGTCTGCCATCTGGGTTGACTGTGTGTGAGGCTTTGGGGAGGGCTGGCCACACAGGAAGTCAGTAGCCAGGCAGTAACCTTCAGGGGCACCATGCCAAGTCCCACTCATGCACAGGTGGGCAGCTGGGCCCCTCCTGTTTTGCTGGTTGCTGTGGGGTAGGGCTGAGTGCACTGCCCGCTTCTCTAGGCTGACCACGGTGGCTCCTGAGTTGTGCAGGGCTGAGGTGTGGTAGCAGCCCCTAGCACTGGCCATGGTGGGATCGTGGGCAAGTCCTCAGCAGCGTTCCCAGGGCCAGTGTCCTTCCCTCCTTTCCCCAAGGGCCCTATCCTCCACTCCTATAGCCAGGAGGCCCGGTGTGGGTGGGGTCTGCAGCACCTAGATCCAGCCTTTCAGGGCAGCTCTAAGCGTACACTTGCACCTGCCAGGCTGCTGGCCAGCCTGGCACCTTTCCCAGCTTTGAGGTCCTGGCAGCTGTCACCCCTGTCCCACCTGTAACCACCTGCTCTGTGGCCAGATCCAAGAATCCAGCTGGTGACACCACATCTGGCCCCTCCAGGTCTCAGTGGGCTTCCACGGCTGTCATTTTCACTGGAATACTAGGAGTCCTGCAGTGCTGTCCTTGGCCTTCTTCCTAACCAGTGATGTGCACCCTGATATGTGCTCCTCTGTGCTACAGCCCCGAGGAGGTGCAGACAGCCCCACTGGAGCAGCTGTCAGGGGCACCCCCCTCTGCCCCCAGAATCGCTTGAGGGGTACACTCCTGCTGTGTGCATGTATGGGCTGGATTGTAGGGCTGGTGCAAGTCCTGCTCAGTTGGCCTCTGGAAGAGGAGAGAGCAGTGTGGGGGACTCCCCGTAGTCTCGCCTGCTCCTCGCAGTGCTCGCTGGCCGCCTGCTGCCACCATCCTGCTGCTGCTGCTGTCTCCTCCCAGCTGCCCAGCTGTCTTTGCTGTCACTGGTCCCCGTTTTGCAGCAGCTTCTCTCGTTTCTGAGTGCATCTCAGCTCCGTAGGCCAGCAGTTAGGTGACCACCAGGCAGGGGCGACGTGGATGTGAATGTGGATCCCAGCCTAGGATAACTGCCTTGCTGCCTGAGTTCCGGGGCCTTGGTGCGGAGCTGGCTCTGGCTCAGGAGCACCTAGTACTGGTAGAAGTACCTTCAGCTCCACAGGTCCTGCCGACCCATCCCACACCTTGGTGGCCGCGTGGTCAGGCCAGGGAAGGATGAGTGTGGCCAGCATGGCAGGAAAAGAGCTGTCTGTCCCCAGCTGCACCGATCCTCCTGTCCAGGGCAGGTCTAGGGCGGCTGGCGGGGGAATGGGGCCTTGTCTGAGTGCCTGGCCTCAGCCCTGTGCGGTGATCATCTTGCCCCCACCTCTTCTGGGCTGCGGGTGGGGCTCCTGTGGGTCCTCTGGGGTGAGGCCTGCGTCCTGACCCAGCGGCAATGAGGACGGCGCACTCAGCTCTGCAGGATGCCTACTGTGAAGTCCTCCGCAAGGATAGCATCGGGCAGGCGCCCGCCCACAGTGGGTGGGGAGGGCGGCTGGGCCCTGGCATCGTCCCCACCTGCTCCTCCCTTTGCCCTTGCTTCCTCTCAACAGGACTAGGGCCAGGGGGCAATTCCGAGTGGTAGTAGGTATGGCAGTGCAAGCCTGTAGTCCTAGCAGTGCTGGAGGCTGAAGCAGGAGAGACACAAGCTCCAGCCCAGCCTGTGCCTCTTAGCCGCTTGGCAAGATGCTATCTCAAAATGGAAAATAAAAAAGACTGAGTGCAAGGCCTGCATTTAATCCTTCTAGCACAGGGAGGAAGGAGGGAGGGAGGCAGGGATAGGAGAGCTGGTCCCTTGATCCCTCAGATGGATTCTGCCCACAGGGCCACTCCCTCCTGGACAGCAGTCAGCTGAGGCCCTTGGATGGCAGGTGAGCCCTACATGACAGAAGGGGCTGGAGCTGTGCCGTAGGACCATGGAGCTATGGTCGCAGGACCGTGCGGGCCAGGGTGCAGGTGAGGAAAGGCAGCGGCAGGTCCTTCTGGGGGGGCGCAGGGCAGTACCTTGCAAGCAGGTGGGTGACAGGCTGGCGCTTTTAACACCATCGCGAGACACAGCTGCCTATAAAAGACTGTAGGTAAGTCCACCCGTTCCACACCCTTGCACAGGGTACAGGCGGCAAGTGACTTCTGAGAGGTAGCGCAAGCCCGCAGCCACGACAGTTGTACCCGAGGGGCCCGCTATGGAGGTTCTGAGTGTGCGCTCACAGTGCCCATGCACATAACGGGCACTCAGGCCCGTGTGTGCAACACATAGGCTTACACCCTCACACATGCTCCCAGGTGTGCTGGCCACATTCATGCACTCTCACAGACGCGAATTCGTGTGCATGTGCACACACTACTCACACCCCCTCATCTCACACTTTGTACTCACAGACATTCACACCCACACCCACACTCACCTGGGAGAGTTTCAGTGGGTGGGAAGGGGGGGTCCCCTGCTATACCACCCACACGATGGGGACCCCCAGCCTCCCAGGGGCCCTGGAGTGCAGTGAGAGAACAGGTTGCGGGGAGCTCAGCCTGAATGTCGCCAAAGGCCGTGGGCACCGCTGTGGGGAGGGGTGTCCCCCTCACAGTCCTGGGGCTTTCCTACCCTCTCCACCCGGCTGTCCTCCAGCAAGCCCTGCCACACGCGGCTTTGCAGCCCCCACCAAAAGCACTCAGCGCTGTGTGGTTCAGGGCCGGATCTGTGCAGCAGACACAGCAGATGACTGCTCTTTGCAAAGCCCTTCTCCTCGGTGTTTAAACACCCAGCACCAGCTTACGCCCATCAATGATTCAAGCCGTGGTGCGGCACTAGCTGCAGCTGCTGTTTGCGGGTGCCTCATTAGGGAGGGATGCTATCAGATGGGCGACTTCCCTCTGCAGCCCAGAGCCCTGCGCCCCACCCATGGGCTCTGTTTCAAGGCCTGGAGGTATCCACGCTGGGACCCTGGGCCTTGAGGCGCAGACGGGAGCGTGCTGGTGTGCTGTCAGAGCTGGCCATGCGTCCTGCTGGGAGAGACTGGGACTTAGGATATAGACTCTGCTGCTAGCTTCTGGAGGGCCCAGCCTGCCTCACTCTGTCTCCACCTCCCAGGGCCTGTGTGTTTCTTGTGCCTCTCAGTGGACCCTCACTGGCGTAGAGCCCCCTCACACAGTCCAACAGCAGCATGGACTCGACTCAGAATCGTCTATTTAACATAAAACTTCTTTTCCCCAAGAGTGAGTGCCAGGTTCTGGGGATTTGGCGCAGACACATCCCATTTGGGGTGGCACTGTTCAGCTGTGGCAGTATCTGAGCCCTGTGCCTCTGACCACTCTGCTGTCCCCAGTGGTCAGGCTGTGCAGTCCCGCAGGCTCTATGGTCGCTGTCCTTCCCTGACTGCACTTATGGAGCACTGCAGGAAGCATGGGTCCCACAGCAAGGAGCGTGCGTGTGTGGTCTTTCCTGAGTCAGAGACTCCGAGGTGCTCAGCAGCCATGCCTTGGTGGCCACATGTGCAAGATGACAGGAGAGAGTGGAGGTGACAGAGCTGTCCCAATTCTGACAGCAGGGAGAGAATTACCCAGGCAGCAGTCAGCAAGGAGAGGAGGGAGGAGACTGGGCATGGCGTGGGGTCTGTGGCTAGTGGTCAGCAAAGGCGTTTCTGATAAGAGGACATTAGAACAGATCTCGGGAACCTGTGAGTTCCCGGGTGTCCAACAGTGGAGGTCTCTGGCAGCCATCAGGTCTTGCTGACACAGGCCAGGGCAGCAGGGAGTAGAAGGGAGACCGGCACAGCCCACTCCTGGACTTCAGGGTGACCCTGGCCCCACAGCTACACAGCGGGGTAATATGGGGAGCAGTGACAGTCCCCTGGAGTGTTGGGGACAGAGGCGCATGGACTATGGATGGAGGATACTCCTAGAAAATATGACAGTCGGAGAGGCCACAGGTCACCAGCTAGGCTGTAGAGGACAATGGGATGGTGGTGGTCAGTATTGGGCAGCCGCCAGCCACAGTCCAGGCGGCTGAACCAGTGGGAGCCCTGCCTCGAGGTGTCCTGCCCTCAGAGCGCAGTGTTTCATCAGCACCTGGTGTCCTGGTCCTAGCCCAGTCCCCATGTTGTCATTTGGGTAGGAGCAGAACCAGTGTCCGGCCTCAGCCCTGTCCTGCAGGACCAGTTGCTGGTATTAGGAGCTGGCTTGAGGAGACTTGGCTTCCTAGGAGCATGGCTGAACATTGGCTCCAAGTGGCTGCAGGAAATGCACAGGGATGCGTGCTCTCTTCAGATGAAACTGGCCTAGTGGGCCAACAGCAGTGCCAGGCCCTCCGGCTGCCACAGTGCCATCACACAGCCCTGCAAAGTGGGCAGCTGATGTGGCAGAGAGAGCTAATCCCCCCCCCCCCCGGTCATGAGCTGGAAATGCTTGAGGTCTGGGTGTGCAGAGATCTGGGTGTGGAGAAGTCCTGAGATCTGAGGCCACAAGGGAGGCTCCATCTTCCCTCCTCCTGGTGGCGTCTGCCATCCTTGGTGTCCTCGGCTTGGGCTTTGGCTGACCTCCATCTTCACTCGGCCTCCTTGCTGTTGTGTCTGTGTGTCTGCTCTTTTTATGAGGACACCAGCGTCATTGATGGGATCAGGGCCACCTTGCCCCGGGTGACCGCATCTGAACTAATGGCTCTCTTACCAAAAGGCCACCTTCTGAGGTCCTGGGGACTGAGCCCCCAACACATACACACCTCCCTGTCAGATCTCTGGGGTGCCTGCAGAGGAGAAGCTGCATGCTGCTGCCAGTCCCAACTGTGCTCTTGGTGACAGCTGTGGCTTTCGCAGGTCGTTCCAGGGCCAGTTCCTGGAAAGGCACCTCTGTTAGGCCCAAGCCATGGCAACCAGGACACAGAAGGGAGGGGCGGGGTGTAAGAGCTCACCCTCC